GTATTTACTGCCTACACTCGACAGGGTCAAACTCCACTGGTCGGCTTCTCACTAGAACTCTGAGAATTTCTTCACGAAGCCAGTCACTAGTGATCGGTATTTTTACGCATTGAAATCATTAGTCAGTAATTGTTAGACCACCATTAGAAACCTGGAAGAACTGGACGACATTGTCGTCGTCGATGCCTATCTAGTGGTCCAGAGGTTAGGCGTTCGCATGCAAGACCGAAGGTCTTGGGTTTGAATCCTAATACTCGCAGGATTCGTGGTTCCACATTGCTGATGAGTCCCGTACCAGGACGAAACGGCCATCGAGTGCTTCCAGGTTTCTAATGGTGGCCTAACAATGGTTGATTGATTATTTCAATGTGCAAGAACACTGATCGCCATAACTCTAACTGAAAAATTGGTACATAATTAAGTTGCTGGTTTAGTCAATTTATCTGTATCATTACTTATTACTATAAAAGCCGATAACTAGGAATCATTTGCCTGTAATCCACTTCATTCATGAAAATGTTAACTAATTTCACTGAGAGGCAGATTTTCTCCTCATTGTTAACAGAAGAACTCCAGTAGCATATTAGTACTCATGGGTCAGTCACTTAATGAGCTAAACACTCATCTTTTTTTATAGAACTGGTTAAATGAAACTCTGTTCATCTGGTTTCTGTTTGAATATCTGTTTGGTTATTACTAGATCTATCACAAAACATGACCTGACGAATTTCTACAAATGTTTGTAAGAATGGTTAGTGAGATGAACTTTGGGACAAACTTTATCTCACACTATTGCAAATGAATCAGTATGAATAGCCAGTGATACAGCATCCTAATGATCTATTATATTATATTAAAAAAGTCTAATTATGAATTATTTTCCTAAGATTTGTCATTTTTGTTTTTATGTAAACACTATTATTTTGTTTTTCAGTAATGGGTTGGTGTGACGTTTCGTTATTCTTTATTCATGTCCACTAAAAGTACACGATTTTATCTGCAAAAAGTGTTTCTTTAATAATAACTGTCAATCTTTTTTCTGTTGTTCTCATAGTTTATCAAAGATTTCATCGTTTACGGGGCTGATTTTGTTTTGGAAAAATACTTGTATTATACGGCCATTATGTTTCCTAGACTAATTAAAATTGCATCTATATATATATATATATATATATATATATATATATATATATAGCAAACAACCACACATTTTATATTATATTCCAGTTGCAATCTGGTACATAATCTCAACAAGATTTGTATACAATACAATTGCATTTATCCAGACTGTTTTTTCTTAACAATTAAGCCACAGGCTAAATTTGCATCTGTTTATTATGACATTAACAGTGAGTTAAAGTATACTTTGACTTGAATCCCTTCCTTTGTTTAGTTTGATGGAAATACAATTGTTCATGCTGTAATGTCAAAGTCTGTCGTCATAAATGTTAGTATTTTTATGTTCACTTCCATAACTAACCTATAGTGCTTTGTTAAACTTCAAAGTGCAAACTATTAAATACATTGCAAAAAAATCAATCATTTTTCAACATCGTACTAAATATTCAATGTTAAATTATCATGTTTCCCTTTGTTCGTATATATTCTCACATATCTTGATGTTTGGATGTTTTATTTATCATCAGACCAGCCACCATTGGATTATTATCTTTTTTTTCATAACTTTTGTTTTAAAAATCAATGGGCAGAACATTATGTCTAGGATTTGGGGAAATTTTATTTTACTTTTGGCCAAATGGACAATAACGGAAAGCAAATAGGATATCATGCATGTGTATCACATGGATGATGACTCACACAGGATAAATATGTCTATGTTCATGACTATATATTATAATATCTTACGCGTTTAGTTTTTATTGCGGTCATATTGTTAGAATTGTTACAAATTAAGTCATGTGCTCTTTGTCTAATCTTTGGTTTAATCCCACCCAAAGTTTATCAAGTGTTCTTCTACATTATGTTTGTGAACATCATCACTCAGTTTCAACTCGAACAGCATTAAGGATTGTTTTGACTTGTCTCTTATTGATCATGGTGAAATGATATGTGTTTTGTATCTTATGTTTATCATTTTTAGGAGATTTTAATTACTTTGTCCTATTTTGGCTTTTTTTTTATTTCCAAAATTTATCTTTACATGACTAATCGTTACCGGCTTTGTTTTTTATTTTCTGTGCATACAGTAGCTTACATTGAAATATATTTTCATATAGAGTTAGTCATGTATGTATGTTTATGCCACTTTAATGACAGCTTCTCTTTCTCTCATCCTTTTTTTAAACATAAACTTTTGATGCTATTAAGCTACGATTACCATTAGTTAACACCCAATAAACGTACGTATTGTGATGATAATATTCGACCCTTTATTCTGTTTAGAAAGTCATTCCATGCTATGCGTTTTTCTTTGTCTCTCACACTCTTTTCATAATAAGTCTTGTGCATATAATCACAAACACACTTGTCTAATATTCATGACATTAGATAGATTGAATGATTATAAATACGCTTGCTATGTTCACTGTTTGGTGAATGTTTACAAAAATCATCAACTGATGTATATTCTGTATGTTCGAATATTTTTTTCTTTGTTCAATCAGATAATAGTTATTTATTGTCTACTTTATGCTTCTTAGTATCGATCTCAATACTGTTTCATTATTACCATCATAGCTATGTTTATTATGTTGTTGACACTGTTTTATGAATTTCTGTTTGTATTATATTTTTCTTCACAAATTTTGCAATGGTTTGGATTTATTACTATGAGGGTTATATTACTTTTCAATAACCATATAGGTTATGATTGTCTTCTGTACATTATTTCCTGGTACGAATTCATACTTTTGTAAATCAGTTACTGACCTGGTAATAACATGCATATATCTCTATATACTCATGGCATGCTTGCAGTAGCGATAACTGCTAACCTTCAAAGTTAAATGCTACATTGTTGTTTAATATTTTGCATAAATGAATTAGAATTGTGCAACATCTTTCTGAACTGAGAATGATGGTAGCATAATCATTCAGTTTATTTCTGACAACGACAACGCAACTATATTTTATATTTTATACGTATTTTGGGGATATTTTTGTCAGTCAAGACTGTCATATGCAATAATATTATACGTGACTATCATTCTTTTAATATTATTGTGCTTTTATAAACTGAATTGAAATGAAGACAATTTTTTCCTGTAATAACAATGATGATGATGAAGGTTGCTACAGTTGCCTAACTCGTGTAAAATAGTGAACCGATATTTATTAAACGTTTTTCCATTCTTAGCATGTGTTATTTAATAAGCTAATTTATGATAAACGTGAAATGAAAAATAAATAGAAAATTTATCCGCCTAATAACAGTATTAAAAATGATGTTGCGACCGAATTAATTCGATTTCGTGATATCTATTTTTCCTTTTGCCCCTTGCAATGATATTGAAGAATGGATGGGAAACAGTTACGAAATCCAACTATTTTTTTGAAAATCGACGAAAATTTGACATGTTTCTGTTCTTATGTAGCAAGCTTCAGCAGCACGTGTCTTCATGATACTATATTAAATCCGATTGATCATTTTTAAGTTGTGCGACTAGCCTAGTTCCATTTACCTTTTTAATGTTAATCAGATGGTCTATATTTTCTAGTTTCGAATGTTTCACGATTAGTATCACTATTATTCGACATCATTGTTAGTTGTCCACTTCCAATCGCCATTTGTTTGACTTCATAGATTATCGGATCTGCTGAAGTGTCTTAAAATATACGTCTGTTTAGTTTCAAGTGGTTATTTACAATAAATGAAAGTTGTTTTCTCATCAGTCGTTTTACAATTAGCCTCACTAAACAAAACGGTATACTCGTTTCATTTGATAAATTTGATAGTCCGAAATAAACAAGATACATTTATGTTGTAATTTGTTTATGAATAGTTTAGCAATATGCAACAACCAAAATTAACTTTGGTGATGCTTCCCTATTATACCCTAAAAGATTGTGTTAGTTTCCTATGCTTTCGCTTATATTAGAAGAATATTGAATATGTATCGTTATTTTAGTTTATGAATCAGACAATAATAATTTTAATTAGGCATTGAAAATTACCTTACACGGTATGTTGTTCTGTGAATGATTTTTGTAGACATCAATTCAATGGTTGTTTGTAACTTCTAATTTTAATTTTAATATAAGTGTGTTTAAAACGCTCTCAATCATTCATTGGTACTATTTCGCATTAGTTTTTTGTTTGATGTAGTAATTCCGTTCCTTCTACAATATTTTATTAAATTTTCGCGGATTCACTAAATTTCCTTTTGTTGTCTAAGAAAACAACGTATCCCACACATAACAATGGTGCTAGAGGGAATCAGTCACTTGACTGTTTGTACTCGTGTTTCTTTTGGCAAATTATTTTCAGTTTGACAGTTTTATCCATTATCCTTCACTTTTGTTGAAGTTCTCTTTTCGTGTACCTGCTTGCAATTCGAAATATGCAAACTTAAATCCTTTCATATTTATTTTTGGGTAGAACGTTTTAATCTGACAGTTCTATATTATAAAAACTAGTGTTATTTTTGTATTATTGTTTCATTGTTATAGAACAGAGCTATACAGCGTTTCTTTTGTGACATAAAAATTTCCAATAAGTGTTCTTACTAATTTTTCAAATCGCTCCTGGTGTATTTTTCAGTCATTTAAATGCTAATCAGTTTGCAAACTGTGGACCCAGTTCATATGGAAACCAAACTTGGTCATTTCATTTTAATCTTGTGTTCATTGGGGGGGGGGGGCGGAGACGGTTCACTCATAATTTTAAGTTTTAAAACCGCCAGTTTCATTCTTAGCTTCTGCGTATGCAATATTTTAAACTAATAATTTGTATGACCTGAACTTGAAATCGTTTCTGTCAAATATTTTATTAGATTCTACAAAAAATTAACATTCATTGAAATTCATCCACTTCATTTTAGGTTCCTGTGATGCTGCTGATTTCCTTCGTGAAGCTCAAACAATGAAACGCCTACATCATCCTAATCTGATACAATTGTATGCTGTTTGTACACAAACAGAACCTTTTTATATTGTTACAGAATATATGTCCAAAGGTTCTTTATTGAACTATTTACAATCTCCTGAAGGTCATGCATTAGATATTCAATGTTTAATTATGATGGCTGCTAAGATAGCTTCTGGTATGGCCTATCTTGAATCCAGGCGTCACATTCATCGAGATTTAGCCGCTAGAAATGTTCTAGTCGGTGAACAACATGTTGTGAAAATAGCAGATTTCGGTCTTGCTCGTATGATTCATGTAAGTATATTGTGTTTATAAATAAGTTAATCTTTACTAACTATTTACTCAGTGATTTTTCAATAATTTCTTAATAATAAGTAGGTTAGTTTATTTCCAGTATTGAATGACTTTCTTCTTTTAAATGTAATTTTTATCAAACACTCAGGAATTCATAACATCATTCACTTATCATTTCAGTTTTTATTGATTGGGACATTTGACGCCATATAGCTCCAACTATGTTTGCTCATTGTTTCCTATGTATTTGTGTGTGATATATATAGTAGTTCCTGTATTTGCGAATACTTTATTACATGTATCTGTGGCACGTTTATGCTGTCGAACAATAGGTCGCTCTGCCTAGTTTGTTATTTTTAGATAGTAATGTTGTTAACAATATTCACTTTTCATTAAGTTTAAATTCCATTAAATTTCTCAATAAGGTAAACCGATAAATTTTATTGCATTACCAGATATAATAAATATAATTTCTTTGTCATTGATCGATTAATTGTTTGAATAATTCATTATAATCAGTACTGGTAGTAAAGAGAAGTGCTGGTAATAGTGTGTATGCACGTACTTCCATTAGTTCAAACTTTTTGATCACGAGTCTTTTCTAAATAAAAAAAACTTTATTTCATGAACTCAATGTGATAAATTTTTTTGTAAGGCAAGTGTCATACACAAACTATTGATTAGTTCATTTCTGTTTTATCACGAGTTAATTGATCAAATCTCATTCTGATTAAGTTTTCTAGTATTCTATTTGAGAACATTACAGAATTCAGTTGATAAAGAGGCACTAGTTACATTTTTGTACTTGTACTTTTGCATCTTTTACCTGTTCATTATATTGTCTTGTTAGTAAAGTATTTGTGCATTTCAGTCATATTTTCTTCAAGTAAATCAGTGATAATCGTAATATTTCAAGTTACGTAATTCGGAGTCTAAATGTTTCTCTTCATGCTTAAATTTTCTTTAGATTTTTTCTATCAGTGTAAACACGATCTTTTATGTATTTCCACAAATCAACGTACATTTCTTTCTCAAATTTCGAAAAGTTTATAGGAAAGCAGCTACCTAATATTTAATGTTTCATATTTATCTGAAAAGATTTGTTAGTTTTGAACCATTGAAGCGCAGTAATGTTCTTTGTAAACCGGATTCCTGTGCAGTGGAATATTTAATTTCGGTTCATTTAACATATTTAATTCTTTAGTCATATTAGTGGTTTGTTCATAATATCTAACATTTCATAAAACTCTTTAGTAATAATTGAAATAAATTTTTTTAAACATCAGTAAGAGGATAAGTAGATCTTGGTGTCCTCACTTTGAAGCTTACGTTTGTGAGAACTTATATTTCGATATGGTATCGAGTGGTTGAATTTTAATTACTTCAACCACTAAACTATCCTCTGAGTAATTCAAATCGGTAAATGTTTCTAACACTTCGGATGCTGTAAAACCCATGGGATACTTAAATAATTGAAACAGAGTGATAAGAGTGTTTTGAAAACTAAACATTATATAGTGTAGTGTGACGTTCTTGATTCAGAGAGCAAGTAAATATGTGGGATGTGTTTTTCTGTAATCCTTATCGTTTCGAGTTTAATGTTCGCCAGTCACCAGGCAATCGGCACTGATGAGACTCCCAAGATAAGTGAAGCGGTCTACACGCTCGACTACTTCACTCCCTATCACTAGTTCAGGTGCCGATGAAACCCAATCTTGAAGCAACATTTTGCATTTCGAAGGGGAAAACCGCATCCCAAGCATGCTTGCATTGTTGCTTAGGGTAGTCAGAAGACTCTGCATTTTGTCAGCATCTTCACCAAGTACGACAATGTCATCGGCATATTCTAAGTCAATAAGCGAGCCACCTGGTAAAAGGTCTACTCCTGAAAATTCAGACGAGGATAAGGTTATTTCTAGGAGCATGTCTATGACAAAATTAGACGAGAATGGGGAAAAAGGATATCCCTGACGGACACCACTTGAAGTAAAGAATTCCGACGACAGTTCACCATAAGCTCTCACTCGACCAGTGGTGTTTGAGTAGAGAGCTTGTATGAAGTTAATGTACTTATTTGGTACACCTTTCAATGTCAGACACTATCACAGAACCTCACGATCAACAGAGTCAAATGCCGCCTCAAGTTCCAGGAACACAACTATTGTTGGACGTCTAAATGTGTTTCTGTGTTCCACTACCTGTCGTAGAGTGAAAATGTGGTCTATACAACCACGTCCAGGTCTGAAACCAGCCTGGTCTTCTCTAGTCTGCTCTTCACATGCTCTAGTTAGGCGTCTAAGGATAATCGAGGCTAACAATTTAGAAACTATATTAGTTAGACTTGTTCCCCTGTGATTGTCACAAGAAGACTTTTGTCTTTTCTCATAAATTAGGACAATCGGGAATTGAGTCCAGTTGGATGGGATTACGTCCAGTTCCCAGATTTTACCTAAGATCTCGGTCAACCTAGCTGATAAAACTGGACCACCATCCTTAAATATCTCAGGGGTCAAACTATCGGGTCCTGCCGCTCTCTCTCGCTTCAGATTTCCTATTATCTTTTCCTCTTCAAAAAGGTTCGGAGGGCTCACGTCGACTCGTCATTCACGATGACTGTGGATCGTGGGTAACCGAAGAGTGGCTCGAGAGCAAGTGATCTGATCCCTAAAGTGTTCTGCCCATCTATCCAATCTCCTGGATTGAGAATTAATAATAAGACCATCCTTTTCCGAGATAGTCTCACAGTAGGATTCCAAATGCCAGTTTTTTTGGTATGTCGGAAAAGTTGTCTAGTGTTGCCTATCGTCGCTGCCTTTTCCATCACTTTTGCTTTCGCCAACCACTGTTCGCGGTCGTTACGTAGGCTTTTTATCAGCCTGCACTTAAGCTGACTTCGTTCTTCATCATGTTCATAGCCAGGTGGGATGAGTTTTCGAGCATCCATCAGTTCGTTGGATGCTACTGAGATGCACTGCTTCATTCTAGCCTTATGGTTTACCTTACTAGCAGATATCACTGCCGTATCCACAGCCTTTTTTATTTCATTCCAACAAGCTTCTGGATGGGAATGACCAACATGGTTGCCTACCTCTCTTTCTGGTCGCTCCTGAAATATATTCTTAGCTTTACTGTCATTAAGTAGAACCCTAAGAGGCTTCCTTACGGTGTCTTTCCTATGTCCAGTAAGCCTCAAACAAATAAGCGCTTGCACTAGGGCATGGTCTGAATCTAAACATGTGCCCCAGAATGAGCGACAGTCAAAAGATGTTTTTCCTTATGCCTTAAATTAGTGTTTGCTAGAAATAGGCGGTTATCGGAGCACAGTTGCAACAGACGGTCGCCATTGTCTGTTCTCTGAGCCGCGACACCATAAGACCCACCAAGGTATCTTTCATTTTTAATTAGTCTGCCTACTTGAGCATTAAAGTCACCAGTCATTATTACTATATCAGAGCGCCTAGCTTTTTGGAGGATGTCCGAAAGCTTTCTGTAGAACTCATCTTCCACCTCGTCTGAACTGCAGTCAATGGAGGCGTAGGCAGATACCATGAAGAGGAAACGGCGAGTGTCCCTATCTTTCGGAGTCCTTACTGTCCCGTTTAGTCGGAGAGCGCTCAAGCGACTATCTACTGGGATCCAGTCTAGGAGATAATTCTGCCCTAGGGCTCAACGTTATGCCTACGCCAGCAAGACCCCTGGAAGCAGCATCAGGGCTACCGGATACACAAAGAGTGAATCGGGCTGCTTCTTCGTTTTGACATGGTGGAATCAGGTTAGTGACTCTACTAGGATCCTGTATGCGCGTTTCCGAGACGCAGCATACATCGATGGCACGAGTTTCTAAAGTCCTAGGTAATGATGCCTGTTGCCCTATTTGACACAATGTCCGTACATTAAATGCTCCAACATGTAGTCTGGAACGGGGTTTCAAGAGACCAGGAATGACGTTTCGTGAACTCGCATCGTTTGCATTAGCGGTGCAGTCAGATAAGGGAATGTGAGTAGAGTTAGTTGTGGAGAGAAGAGAGGTATGCGTGGGTGTAGGAAGAATTTGATTTTGACCAATTTGGTCTCGCGTGCTGTTACGGGTATGAGGGCGGTTGTCACCTCCAGGCTGCCCACACCGTGGAAGGTTGTTTCTTGAGGAACCTGAAAACGAAGGGGGATTATAGTTGGTCTTAGAGACCTGTGTACGTGACCCCAGAGCCCAATGGACAACTGCTTGAGGCCGGTCGCGCACTGCCTTTTTATGAAAGGTTTTTTGAGTATTAGCTTCGCTCTTGAAAGCCCTTATCGGGCACCCTTACCGACGGAGACGGAAATCCGTGAGGTAGGTTGAGGTGTGGCATTTATAGGGTCGACCTTTTCTAACCCTTCCTTCCTTGTGAGAAGGCGGCATCTCTGCAGATGCTGGTTGTCCGAGAGAAACAGCTTACTGCTGTCACACCCCTCCATCACAGTCAGCAGTACGACTCCACCCTCAGACCTTGGTTAGCTGCTTTCGGTCTCATCGTTCTCCAATCGACCTGCCTGGCATGGTAGAACCTTCAGGAACATATGTTCCAGCCAATATTGCTGTGTTGGGTCATCACGATAGGCAAGCCTGACCACCACATCAAGGTAGCAGCTTCGGTCGGGTTTCTTTCATCATGTAGTTATAAGCCAGAGGTGAATAATTATTGCGATGTGGATCTTAAAAAATAAATACACACTGATGTCAGCAGTTTATTTTTATAACCTTGACAAATAGCTAGGTTGAGATCATGTGTAGTTTTCTTATGTCATTGTTTATTATATACATGCGATGCAATAGATCTGTATTAATGAGCATATAGAGAACCACATTAACAGTACCTTATAGAAATGTACGTGAGAGAATAATGCTAGAACTTGTCTATTGAAGTGATAATCTATTCATTACGAATATTGCTAAATAATCGAAGATGACGAATCTCTCATTAGTGTATAGTTAGTTTCATATAATGTGTGTCATTCCGATG